CCCCCCCCCCGGGGGGAGCCCGGGGGGCCCCCCGGGCAGCGGGGGCCCCGGGGGCCCCCTCTTGGGGCCCCTGGAGAGACTTTGCTGCTGCTGCTGCTGCTGCAGCGTAGGGCGCAGCAACAAACGCCTTCGAAGCTGCAGCGGCTTGCGGAGAGGCAGTTTGAGTCGCAGTCGAAGCCTTCGCCGGCGCTGCTGCTGCTGCTGTTGCTGACGGCGCTGCTGCTGCTGCTGCTGCTGCTGCTGCTGACGGGGAGCTGTCGCAGCGCCGATCTTTGGAAGACATAAAATACTGGACTGCCCGCTGAATGCCGGAGGCAGCAGCAGAGGAAGAAAGGGCCTCCATTATGACACAGCACTGCTGCTGCTGCTGCTGCTGCTGCTGTTGCTGCTGCTGCTGCAGCAGCTCGTGTTTGGAGCTGGGGGCGGATGCAAGAGGCCTTCAGGCCAGCACAACTGACGAAAAAGTGCAGCAGCAAAAAGAGCGCAGCAGGGCGCTGCAGCTGAAACACCCGCTGATGCAGCTGCAGCAGCAGCAGCAGCTGCTGCTGCTGCTGCTGCTGCTCTCAGGGCCCCCCGGGGCGAGGACCTGCCGGCGCCGCTGACGCAGCAGGCTGCTGCTGCGCTGACAATCTGCTGGGGGGCCCCGCGAGCAGCGCAGCAGCAGCAGCAGGAAAGGAAGACCAAGACAAGAAACAAAGAGGTCTAAGAAAAGCAAAAAGAGTGACAGAAATGACTCATCGGCAGATGCCGAAGAAAAGTTTAAATGAAGACAGAAAAAGGAATTGTGGCGGCAGATGCGGCGTGACTCTTGAGGTGTACATGCAGCGCATGCTGCGCGCGCAGGTGCCAAGTGGCCATTTCTAATTACTTTTTTACTTTTAATTTTTCTTTAATTCTCTTCTTTGTTTGTTTTTCGACTATTCAAAACGAAGATCGCGAAAAAGGAGCTCCGGAACGCCCCGTCGGCGGCGCTCGCAGCCGAGTTGCAACGCGCTGCTGCAGCAGCAGCTCACTTGTTCGTATCTTTTTGCCGTACTTCCATTTCGTCTTTTGACATTAAAAAAAATGAAAAATAATGGAACTAATTCAAGCGAATGAAGGGCACGAGAGAGCTGCAGCAGCAGCAGCAGCAGCAGTTCGTTGCTGCTCCTGCGCCACGTTTCCAAATGCTGAACTTGCTGCTCTGTAGGAACACTGCAAACGTGAAGCTGCAGCGGCCTAGCAACTTTCTAAAAACAGAATTTACTTTTCTTCTTTAATCCATTTGCTTCTCGGTGCTGCCTGCTGCTGCCTGCTGCTGCTTGCTGCTGCTGCTGCTGCCTAATCCTGCAGCACTCCGCAGCAGCAAAGTTCGCCGCTGCACTCTCGACGCAGCAGCTCAAGTCTGTATTTCTTGCTGTCACTGCGCTGGCTTTCTCGCAGCAGCACCAGTGAACCGCTGCTGCTGCTGCTGCTGTTGCTGCTGCTGCTGCTGCTGCGCTGCTGCGGTGGCGTGCGGGGCGTCTGTACACCCCAGCAAGTCCAAAGGAAGCCCGCAGTTAGGACATCAATTTGCATGCATTTCATTTTAAACCTTTTAGCTCTTTTAAATGTTTTATTAAATGTTTTATTAAATGTTTTATTAAATGGTTTATTAAATGTTTTGCCAAATGTTTTATCAAAATGTTTTACTTAAAAGCCGCTCTTGGCAGCAAAACGACTTGCTGTGGTGCCAGCAGCAGAATTCAAATTGAGTCGAAATAAAGGAACAAAGAGATACAGCAGCAGCAGCAGCTGCTGCTGCAGCTGCTGCAGCTGCTGCTTCTGCTTCGCCCGCTGCGTGGCTCTCAGTTTTGCTGCGCTGCTGCAGATTTGCTGCAATGGGGCGTTTGCTGCTAATTTGCTGCTTCGATTAATTCTTAAAATTTTCTTTTTAATTAATTGATTATCTAAATTGTTATTTATTTATTCAATTATTTAAATTGTTTTATTTAATTGTTTATTTAAATTGCTTTTTATTTATTTAATTATTTAATTCTCTTGAATTATTTACTTGATTTGCTTCTCTTTTTGCTGCTTCAAGGCTGAGGCCAGCGGCCTTCTCTAAAAGAGAAAATACAACAAAAAAGAAATAAATAAAAACAAAAAGAAACAAATAAAAATAAAAAGAAAAAATAAAAGAAATAAATCAAGCATGAAATAAATAAAAAAGAAATGATAAATGAAGTAAAAAGAAACAGATCAAAGAAGAAATAAATAAAAACAAGAGATAAATAGATAAAAACAAAAAAGGAAAAAGTAGAAACAAATAAGAAATGAATCAAAACAAAAAATAAATAAATAAATAAATAAGAAATAAATAAATAAAATAAAAAGAAATAGAAAGGGAAATTGCATGCAAAGCCAGACAACAAGAAGCAGCAAAACAGAAACCTCGTGGCCCCGAACTTTGGACTACCTCCGCCTGCTGCTGCTGCTGCTGTTGCTGCTATTGCTGCTGCTGGACAGCTGCTGAAACATCGCGAACAGCAGCAGCAGCAGCAGCAGCAGCAGCAGACAGGGGAAACGCGTTGGGGTGTATGCCCACCTCCTTCACTTCACTATTTCTCTCACCTTTATTATGAGTACTATTTATTAATTATTTTTACTTATTTATTATAATTATTATTATTTTTTTTACTATTTTATTATTTTATTATTATTATTATTTCAAAATGGAGTTGTAATTGAGGAAACAACAAAATACAAACGTCGGTGCCCACGGCCTGCAGAATCGCCGCCGACAGCAGCAGCAACAGCAGCAGCAGCAGCAGCAGAATTGCAGCTGCAGCAGCAGCAGCAGCGGCTGCTGCTTTGCTGCAGGGTAACTCGCTCCGTATAACGAGAGGCCGCTGCTTGCTGCCCCCCAAAGTGAGCATCATTTGCTCATTGTTTGTTGCTGTTGCTGCTGCTGCTGCTGCAGTAACCCACTGGGTAGCAGCAGCAGCAGCAGAAGGCGCAGCAGCAGCTCAGCGGCAGCAGGCGCATGCAGACAAGAAGCAGCTACAGCTCATCATGTGGACTTTTGCCACGGGGCTTAGGCTGCTCCTTATACGGCTGCTGCTGCTGCTGCTGCTGCTGCTGCTGCTGTTGTTGCTGCTGCTGCTGCAGCCGCTCTGCAAGAATATCTCCCAGTGTTGCTTCAAGGTTCCCAGAAGTAAGGGCCTGCTGCCGCAGCAGCATTTGCTGCTGCCCCACGTATAGCATGTGCTGCAGCAGCACGAATCCAGCAGCAAGGAAGAGCAGCAGCACCAAAAACGAGCAGCAGCAGCAGCTGGAGCACCGCAGCAGCTTCCGGGGAGATGTGTCGAGGATCTGATGCACATTCAAACACAGCAGCAGCAGCAGCAGCTTTTGCAGCAGCAGTAGCAAGACAGCAGCAGCGACAGCAGCAGCAGCGCAGCGCCGCGGGGGGCCAGCCCCCGGCAGCAGCAGCTAAGCAGAAGCAGTAGAAGCAGCGGCAACACCAAAAGCAGCAGCAGCAACTGAGTGCAGGCGCAGCAGCAGCAGCAGCCCAGTCGCTGCAGCAGCCCCGGCACCCGAGAAGCAGCAGCACCAGCAGTGCCCCCAAACCAGCAGCACTAGCAGCAGCGGCAGCAGCAGCACTAGCGACAACGATAGCAGCAGCAGCAGCAGCTGCTGCTGCTGTTGCTGCTGCTGCTGCTGCTTACAGCAACAGAATAGTCTGCACTAGTGGAGACGAGCAGCTGGCCGTCCTGTAAGAAGCAAAGACCAGTTACTGGCAGCTCATGTGCTGCTTGCTTCCCCAGCAGCTTGAGCCTGAGAGCAGCAAACCCCCGAACTAGGGTTTAGGGTTTGGGAGTTAGGGTTTAGGGTTTGGGAGTTAGGGTTTAGGGTTTGCGAGTTAGGGTTTAGGGTTTGCGGCGAACAAGCTGCTGGCCGCAGAGCTCACAAAACCCGATCAGGACTTAGCGAAGAAGGGCGGGAGCAGTTCGCAGAAAATTAGGGTTTAGGGTTGAGGGTTTAGGGTTTAGGGTTTGGGACCTCCTGTCGAAGACTTTGCAAGAGCCATTCGCGAGGCCAATGGCCACTCGCTGGTGGTCAGCAGAAAGCGCCAGTTGGCAGCAAGGAGAAGAAGAGTCGCAGCAAATAGAACAAACTTCAACTAGTTTTGCTGCTGCTGCTGCTGCTGCTGCTGCTGCGGAGGCAGCAGGCGGGGGCTCGTCCACTTTTTTGTTGCTACTTGCTGCAGCTGCTTCCGCGCCCTGCATCACCACTGCCCTGCGCGCCCAGCCCCAAGGCCGCAAACCCTAAACCCTAAACCCTAA